TGAACTTGGGGTAGGGGGTGGTGCATGGGTGTTGCTTGTTTTTCCTCATATCTTAATCCGGTCAAGTTACATGGGATTGACCTTTGTTGTAAGGGTTTTAACTCTAAATACAAGGGGGGGAGCCATGTCGTCAGTTCTGTGAGTGTTCATTACAGTAGTCAAATCGTCACCATGGGTAGAATAGGGGAGGGTTGGGGAATGCAGGGAAGGTAATGTGATGGGATGGAATGTTCGATTGACGTTAGTCTTGGGGAGGAGACGGAAGAGGTGGGGGAGGGAGGAGTGGAGTGGGGAGATGGTAGAGGGGGAGTGTGGGGAGAGAATAAGTAGTCGATTAGTGTTTAGGTGTGGTAACCCACGATGCTCAAATTATGAGGTTTAATAGTTGGTGGGTAGAGGCGGGGGAGGGGGAAGGAGGCTAGGCGCGGAGTTGGAACTCGTGAACGTATGATGTTGTTTAATGCAAGTTATGGAACATTACAGTATCTTCAAACGGGTTTTCACGCTATCAATAGGCCTTATGTAATCCACCAATAAGGATTACAACAGCACACAGTATGGCTGCAATTGGTAAGAAAATAAAATATAACATGAAAAAAAATTTTGCCCTGCGTAATTTTTACAACCCACCTCACGCCTGAAGCAAACCGAAAAATGCTTATGTGTATAGAAGATTTTCAACTCAATATCACATATTCTTTCACCTCTACAAATATCTGCTGTCACTCATGGGACACCCTGCAATAGTATAAGGACGACATGGGCTATGCCGACAAATTAATGTGACTTACCTGTTGGTGACGACGATGGTAGGAATGAGACCTCGGCATGTTTCAGTGTTCCACATCACCTCCTTCCCCTGGTGTGGGTGGCGCCAACCTTGGTAACAACTTGTGTATTCTCCGGGACTACCAGTAATGGTAGTCATGGAGAATTAATAACTGGTGTGCCCATCAGTCGCACCGTCGTAGCCATGAACGACAGAGATATGGTCGTTGTAGTGCTTTTATTTATCCGTTACACATCTCTCACTATGCTTAATAATATTAATTATCTTCATGACATTCTTAGTGTTATCAGTGATTGTGGAATTCACGATGTTATGCTCCACCTACACACAGCCTACAGTGGGCGACATCTGTTGGCCGACCATAGCATTTCCCCCAGCTGTTACGAAACTTCAGACTCAAGGCAATTCGAACCCTCACTATGGCTGGGTAGTGGACACGACTTTGGTGCACGAAAGTACATGTGTGTGTATGCGCGCATGCTGGTGGACAAGTAAGATATACAGTAATGATCAGCTGCATTACATCAAGGATCAACACTTCTAAAAAAGGCAAAATACATTCCATCGGTGGTACTTTGAATAAGTTTTTAAAAATCTGAAGAAAAAAGTTCTCAAAGTTTGCTATTTTGTAGGTTGGAACCCCATTTTGCCTGGCATAAGGAAATTAAAATGTTGATCTGCTTTAAGGCCTGAATTCCAACATTTTACGAGTATTCAAACTTACAGGAGGTAAATAATTAAAGTTTTAGTTGAACAAGTAGTAAAGCCAAATGAATAATATGCTGAAAAGTTTTCTAAAACTATAGTATACCAAGGCATAGTGTTGGGTGCTTGAAACACCCAACAACTCCGAGTGTTTCATGTAATAGCCCGTAAAATGACACCAATGTAGTCTTGGGTGCCTCATACTTAAATTTGCCTGAAATCCCCAACTTTATACATATTTCCCATTTTATTAAGTGAAATTTCCCATTTTCTGTTAAGACACATTTCCCATTTTCTTTGATAAAATTTCCTATTTTCTTTGATAAAAACTTCCTATTTTCTTTGATAAAATTTCCCATTTAGTGAAAACTTCCATTTTACTTGATGAAATTTCCCATTTTCTTTCATACAAATTCCCATTCTTTTATAAAATTTCCCATTTTCCTTGGTGAAATTTTCCAGTTTCTTAAAATTTCCCATTTTCTGATAAAAATTCCCCATTTCCTTAGATAAAAATTTCCCATTTTGGTGAACTTCCCATTTTCCTGGGAGAAATTTCCCATCTTCTTTTATATAAATTTCCCATTTTTTAAGTGAAAAATTCCCATTTTCCTTGGTAAAATTTTCCATTTTCTCTGATAAAAAATTTCCATTTTCTTTTATACATATTTCCCATTTTCTTTGATAAAATTACCCGTTTTCTTAAGTGCAATTTACCATTTTCCTTGGTGAAATTTCCCATTTTCTTTGATAAAAATGTTAAATTTGGGGTAAAAATAATTGTTTTTATTGCAAAGACAAATAGAGTAATAACATTTTCAAATAAAAACTATATTTTAATTTACAGAAATACAGTTACATAAACTTAATATATACGAGGGATAGTTTAACCAAGAGTTCGGAAAATAATAACAGCTTTAACAAGATCTCATTTGATCTATCACAAGATTTGGAGAAATATGTGAGTGATAAGACCATCAGAAACGTGTGTGTGTGTGTGTGTGTGTGATGCGACTTTATGGTATCATCACACACACACGTTCCTCAAATATTGAATTTTTTCTTATAAATTATATTAAATGTGGGTACACCATTCACAGCAGATTACAAAAACATCTTCAGCTGTGACTTACTTAAATGCAAGTCTCAACTGATTACTGCCAGACAAAAATACTTTTTTTTTAAATACACTTAAAATTATCATAAACCGAAGCTTTTGTATGGAGTTTTACCAACACCCACCACCTACCCATAATAGCCAATTTTATGCAATTTCGGTTAATGCTTCGTTTTTACCATTCTACAACTTCGAAAATTCATGAAATATTACCTAAAATACACTTCTTTTAAATTTGTAGGCAACGTTCAAATTGTCCTCAACATGCATCTCTGTCAGTAAGGGTTCCACCTTGCAGAGCGACGCTTGGGCGTGACAGGGCTGAAAACGTTGTCTTTGGCACCTGGACTAAGAGTGTGTCGCTTGGGTCCTTCTGGTCCTTCTGGTGACCAGTAGGGCGTCCTTGGGAGTGACGGGTGGATTTTATCTCCCGTTGGTGTCTTTGGCTGCTGTTCTTCAACTTGTGGTGGTTCTTCATGTGCAGCGGGTGAACGGTATGGTCTCGGGCCTCGGTACTGCCTGGGCCTGCCCTGGGTTGTTTGTTCGTACTGGTTTTGGCGAGCCCACCGTGGTGCTGTTCGGTGGGGGCCAACGCCTGATCCCCGTTGTTGGTAGAAGTAGGGGTCGTACTGTGGTGCCACCCGCCCGTGGTAACTCTGGTCGTAGTACCGCCGTGCCCCATTTGGCGAGAAGCGTGGCGAGTAGCGTGCTTGGTGTCTCTTGGAGCCGCGGGGACTTGATTTTGGCGAGGCACCCCGCCATGGCGCCCACCTGTCTCTGCCCCTGCGTTGTCTCGGAGACTTACTCCACCTTCTAACTGGTGCCTGAGACCAGGGGCTACTGTCTGTGTCACCATCACAGTCTTCTTCAACCCCGCTGTGGAAATGAAACAAAAGTTCTAACTATAAGGGTACAAACACTATCACAATTGCAGTAACTTTACATCATATCACATATATACAGTATATGAAGTGTTAATGGAACATTTTAATTAATAAAGAAAATATTAAAAATCATGCACTTTGTTATCACCATTCCTAATACTGTTCCTATTCAGTAATGTGCGTGCTGTAATATACTTCTTGTTACCATGGCTTTGAAACCAAAGCCATGCCCAAAAAATGGCTTTTCAGAAGACAAAGTTGAAGCTGGTTTCAGCCCCATGTCTGGTTGTTATAAAGCTAATTAATACTCAGTGTACTGTATACATACTGTACACTCATATTAATTACATATAAATTTTCATGCATTTCTGCCAAACAATATAAAATTATTTTTTCGTTAAGTCTGGGCTTTAGAAATTTATATTAAATATTCATCATCATAAAGTTTATGAATACTTATAATTCGCTTATCTATTCCCTTACATTCAAAGCCATGGCACTGATATCCTAAACACCCTTAACACTGTGGCAGACACTATGACACACGCACACATCATTACCGAATGCGCCAGAGTCGTACACTCCCTTGAAGGAACTCTTTCCCTGGCCACTGCTGGGAGTGGTAAGCGCCCTTGGACAATACTGTTCCTTTACCTTTACCTTCTCCTTATTGCTTCACCAGCATGAATTTGAGATAGAAAACAACAGATTTAGTTCGTGTTCTACATCACATTTTTTTTAAAGATTATTAAAGCAAGAGAGTGAGGGATGGGTGACCAATCATCCACCAATCTTTACCTTCCCTTTCCTAAGGTAACTAAATCTATTTCAATAATGCTTTTTACAGAAACAAAAGTAGACGTACTAACCTTCTTAGTATATTCAATGTTTCAAAAGTAAAAAGTGATACAGTACTTACTTGGCAGAATCGTAGAAGTAAGGCCTTCTGGCATTCCTAGAGGTATTTGGGGTGGTGGCCTCTGTGTTTTTGTCGTCATCGTCTGAGGTCGGCACCACATCGTTAATCCAGGGTGCCTGGCGAAGATCGGTCAAGTAGTTTTCTCTTTCTTGCTCGTGGCCTCTGGCACTGTTGTAATCTGCAAGACGCAAGTGAAAAATAAAACTATTGAAACAAATACTCCCGTTCGACAGCTAACTTGTCAAAGGGAGACGCTGACAAAACATCTAGGTTCTGTAATTTGTCTTGTGATCATAAGTAAAGTTGAAATTTCATCAAAATATCTATATGAATACATACATAGTTTAGCAATGGCAGAAAATTTAAGTTTCTCCAAAAGGTTTCAACCTGTGTCAATTTAATTCGATGCTCTACATTTGACCTGGTGATAATACGTACTCATACAAAATTTCATGAAAATATGTGTATTGATACAAGTTATTGACAATGTTTTCATGTTTAACTACAGCAATGACTTTGACCTTTGAAATTTGTGTTCTTGTTATAACACATAGCTTTGTGAAGTGTTCATTAAATATTTGTATCCAAACAAAAGAGTTGGGTTCCATAAAAAGTTGTGAACAAAATTTTCTTCTATCCCGTTGACATTATTTTATTGATCTTCCCAATAAGCGCATTTGTATATGATAGCTAGACTATTTTTACAGTTTGAAGTCGATCTGATTTAAGTTGTAGGACAAACTTTTCAGGACGTGCCCACTTTAGTAATGGCATAAAAAACACTCGTGAGCTTCAGCTCGGCTCGTGAGGTCACAAAGATGTTGTGAAGGCCGGGGATAGAACCACGTAAGGGGGCTTCACAGTTATGGGAGTAAATACACCTATACCTCCTGTGAGAAGGCCAACGCGAGTCCTATTCTGTGGGGGCCGTATATGCCTCGAAGGTGAGTGAATCTTTTATGCAGATAATTTTCCCCATGTTATTTAAGATGAAAATCATTAGAAAAGACATGACTCTACACACTAAAATACACTTTATACAGTCTCCACCAACACCCAGGTCAATTTGTTCGAGGGTAACAGCACGTACAGCCAAGAAGAAAACAATTAGGCTCTACTTGGGTGGAGACTTAACACTGATGTGGCTCGGGGGGGGTGAAGAGAGAGAGAGAAAACTACTGCTTGAAGGTCATGTTACCGAGATGGAGGTGACTTTTCTCCGAGAAATCAATTCCGCTCATAATGTTACAAGACGATCTACACAAATTATGCATGAATAGGCACCCCCTGGTTACGATGATACAGATAATTAACAAAGGTTCAATCACCGCCATAAAATCTAAGTAGTGAGGGAGGTGCCATCGTCAACTTCAACCTTAATGAGGAAGCATAGGAGGAGCAACATCAACCACCTGCACTGCAGCCAGGTGAGTCCGGCCCTGAGGGTTAAGGGCCAGGTGTGCAGGGTACATCAAGAGAGGCGGTGCACACGATGTGTAACAACAGGAGGTTGAGTTATGTGGGCTTAAATCACATGTGCAACAATGGTAGGACCTGCAGGGATCTGTGGTGGAGTTCATCACGCTGACACTCTGCAGGAAACGACTGTGATCACTATCATGATACACAGCTATCACCTGCAGTGTCCTGTCATACACCTCATGTAGAGGCTACCGCAGCCAGTTGCACGATACGGTCAACTGCTTCTGCTAAACAGACACCCGTCTCAGTTTAGCCTCATTCAATAACAATTACATTAAATTCCATAATGTATGATGTGAAAAGAGAACATGAAGCAAGGGAAAACTCTCTTCATTTGTATTTAAAATATCCTCAGCTTCCATAAATATTATTTCCTAGTTTGGTCATATACTTTCCCTCCGTTTTTGTTATTCTTGTTCCCTTGTTTTTATTCCCAATTCCTGAACGGTGTAGTCAGTTTGTATTGTAAAAGCATATGATGACAAGGATACTGAACCTCTCGTTATCCAAGCAACACACTTGCTGTTCACCAGGCGACCTGCAGATACATTCGCTCAGCCGCTCTTGTCACATCAAAGGAATATTAGGGTCCTATTTTCTATGGCTGACCTCCAAGAAAGAGCGCTGCGCTGGTTCACCCTATACCATCACTTCTGTCAGTCTGCAGCACAGACGTCCCCTAAGATAAAAAACCATCTGTATATCACTGCTTATCAATAAAACAGAATTGCGAGCCTCACCTGCTATGGCCTGGTCTGAAGGGATGCCCAGCTGTTGTATCATGTATCTGGAAAAAGAAGATTACTAATATTTAATACCAGTTAAAAAGGTTATATGATACTCGTCTAAAATACTTGAGAACAGATACAGCCAATAAGAATACTTCCACGGGCATATGGGTTGAGAGACCAAGTTGTATGTGACAACTAGAATTATTGCAAGGGAAAAAATAGTAAATGTTGAAGTCCAGGAACGATGTGGTGGAGGAAAACCAGATAGTCAAGAAATATTGTATATCTTGACTTGACAGGTTTATGTACTTTCGATAAAAAAGAAAAAGGCGGAACTTACGCAAGGTATTAAAATGAAGACATACCCGGACGAGTGTGACAGTGTGACTTAAGAACATAAAATGTGAGTTGATGGACAAATTTCGTCTCCAAATGGTTAATGTGACGTGTAAGCCCATCATGTTTTGTCAGAACTGACAAATACATCGAAAATAATGACAAGCTGCAATGGTGACCGTACTTATCCGGATTAAATAAGTATACTGGAGGATGCTGTAAGTAAGTAACTTGCCTCGGTGTGTGTAAAGGTTGTTCTTATTATTACTTATAAAAAGGTGGAGTCTGACAAGACTAATCCAATTAACCTGTTGTTGACAGTTGCAAGTGTGTTGAGCCACACTTAAGTGCTATTATTAACCGACACACTCATCCAGCACAGCCGATAACCATCAGGACCTCCACGTTAGCCTTAAAGGACAGAAACATAATTGTCTTTTTCCCAGATGACTACAATTAACGTACAATGCAAACATCACAATACAAATAAATTAAGCTAAATATCATATCGTTCCTGTGAGAGAGAGAGAGAGTTTGTGTGTGTGTGTGTGTGTGTGTGTGTGTGTGTGTGTGTGTGTGTGTGTGTGTGTGTGTGTGACAAACACAAGAGATGATCAGGAGGACTAGGCAGTTGTGACGTCTTGAGCAATCTTCCCCATTTGTCCGGATCTTACACCAGTGTGGTCACCTTCACCATGCTCTTATATGCTCATAATAGAACGGGTCGTTTTGCCGTGTGAGTTCGTACCCGTTATGAGTTTATTTCTACTAAATGACAGGAGAATGTCAGTGTCAAGTTCTCTTTCGAATAACTAAATTTCTAATTAGAAAATTATTACCATACATTAAGGCTTAAGCTATTCACGATAGAAAAATTTTTCAGCTGCTTACACTGCAAATTTACACAGGAGTCTATACTAATACGAGTTCACCACAAGGGTTCAAGTGTACCGCCTAACATTTTCTACTGACACACGAGTAAACCTTGTGTCTGGTGATCTGCCAACAACCTTCGGCTGATAAACAAACATTAATGTATATTCACAATAAATTCTGCAGAATGTTTTAGACCAACAATAAATATAAACAATCAAGTGGATTAAAATTCAAACAGATAAAAGAAAATCAAGACTAAGGATCTCGTAAAGTCTTATTGGGTTACATACATAAATATTATTTCATATGAACTCCATTTTTGTTATAAGTTATCGTGACCATAATATGAATGGACATTGTGTGACAAACTTGTACGAAACTACACATTGCAGGAGTGGTATGATACTAGTACCAGTTGATCCTCTGTGATTTACGTGTAATCCACAGAGACTAACAGTCAAAAACCCTTGACCAAATTATCTTCCTTGTACGGGAAAGTCTGACGATGGTATTTTCTCACTAACTGTACCGCTCTTTTTTGTTTTAATGCGACACTAAGTACCACACTGGCATCATCTCTCTCATGTTGTAAAAACAAACTTCACAGAGAATGAGTTATTCAAGTGCCACCTCTTCACTTTATAACCAGCCAGTGTCATGTTCCAGCCGCCTCTCCCACCTATTTACCTCAGCAGGCAGACACACGGTGTAAACAGAACGACGACAACTCCCCTACACAAAAGTCCTCTCCACACTCCAGCAACAAACACACTCGGGGCCGCATCATGGTTCCTGTGGTTTGCTACAGCGCACAAACCACACGAACCATGCATTAATTAGCGTTGCATCCCGATTATCAACGCTGCACTGAAACACGATCTCCTGGTCTATTGCTAAACCAGATGGACATCTCTGTCTTTCGTCATCCTATATACTGACACTGTTTCTCTTCCTTCTCAACATCCGCCACACATAACATGCACACGCTACAGGAATTTACCCACCATCTCTCACCTCTCCCGATACTTACATAAACAGGATAGCGATTCTCAACAAAATCGGCATATTAACAATTTTGACCACTTCGTCCTCCACGGATTGTGTAATTGGTGAGAGAGGATGGGAAAGGAAGGGAATGAGGGAGAAGAGAGGATGGGAAGGGAGAGGCGGAGAAGAGAGGAGGGGGGGGGGACAAGACACTGACACGTTATACCACTACTGACGTCAATCACGAGATTAAACACCGTAGAATGGGAACACAATCCTCCTCGAGATATATTCGACCTTGTCTGAGGGAGAATGTGAGAGGTAAATAGAAGAGAGAAGGAAGGGAAACGGAAGGCAGGAAGTAGGGAAAAGGGACAAGGAAGAGAAAAGAGGAATGTGTCAGGAAGGGAAGTTGAAGGTAGGAGGAATGGAAAGTGAAGAGAAATGTGAGAGGAATAGAAGGGGAAGGTGGGAGAAAGAGAGAGAGAAGAGGAAGGATGGAGGAGAGAGAATAAACTTAGTTAATTACTTCACTACCAAACATCACACTAACTGGAGTCTGTGGTCCAGCTACGAGAGAGCGAGAGTGAGGGAGAGAGAGAGATTCTTTTAAAGTAATTTGCCCTTAACTAATTAGCAACTTTCCTCACTCAAGAATAAGTTATGATTACAATGAGGAATTTGTAATCTTACAACATACAGTATAATGTCTTATATACGACGCGTTCCCCTCAACAACATCGTGTGGTTTTAATAATGTAATTCACTCTACTTCTGATATGCCTTTTTTAATCTTATCTAAAATTATATATCCCAAAATAATCAGATCAAGCTCACGTAAAATTTTTTGTTTCGATTTTCTTTCCCATAGAATTCAACTTGATAGAGAATACCGATCAGTTACATTACTCCTGGCCATCAAACATACGAGTGTCACATATCCAGTTTGCTCTAAGTTCATAAACACGAGATGAACATATGTCTTGCACCAACTCGTACCTCACTGTATGGTAATGAACACCTGCCCCTGTAAGCTCAAAGTCGGTATAATCCAAGATTCTTACGAGAGCTACCATGTTCTTATGCAATTATTCAAGATAAATATTATATAAATCAAATAATGCATTTTTTTTCTCCGAAGACAAGCGACGATAAAAATCAGTCAAATTATATTCCACTTCTTAAATGTGTTATGTTAAGTGAGGTACGTGAAACTCAAGGGTGAATTTGTTCTTTGTGGATCATGCGAGTTGAACACACGACTAGGTAAACTAGCTACTGAAGGCGAGAAAAAAACTCAGAATAGTGTCCTTTACCCAAGTATGAACTAACGAACACCCCCCCCCCCACACACACGAGTTCCGACAAGACGTATCCTCTTCCTTCATTAGCTATTTAACAACAGGCGGAGGTGAGTGTCGGCCTCGGGCACCAGGTGTTGGCGCGCTTCACCTACCAACACTACCAACACATCACTTTTTACACCTGGCAATTACTGGACCATGCGTGCCAGCCTGCCCCTCCTCCTACCCTCCGTCCCACTGCCTTTAACCCGCGAGGAGATAAGTGCGGAAAGCAATCAGAAGACGGCCCGATCACCAACTGTACTGGTGCAACGTCTGGCCAAGCAACAAGCTGGTGGTGCTGGCTCATGCAAGCTCTCCATCATGCAGAGATGTTAACGAAACAGGGCGAAGGTTGCCCACTAACTGGCTAAGTGCAACAAGAAGATCACCGGGTAGACATGGTTTTCACTATGCAAGACACACCATAAAATGAGATAACTATGGAAGGAGAAAGAGCAAAACCCTGATTAATAAACAGCTCACCTGCGTCGACCTGTGAATATATTATTAGGTATATTTATGGAACATCTCGTGGAGTTTAATTCGGAAAACAATAGGAAGGATAGGCCTAAAAACCCTATACTTTGTTTCGTATTATAGTCTAATTTTTTATCAAATCTCTCTCTCTCTCTCTCTCTCTCTCTCTCTCTCTCTCTCTCTCTCTCTCTCTCTAAGGGAATCGGTTAAACGTCTGAATTAATACAAAAATTCAGAGATTTACGAACACTTCCTCTCCCCTTCTCTCCGTGTTCCGAGATTTCATAAATAGAACGAACACATTATAAATACAACCATTAATCCAGGAAAGATTCGACTCAGTAATTGTTCCCCAATAATATTAAACCGGAAAAGGTTACGAGGTTATTATAAAGAAGGAGGAAAAACACAGGGCAGGAACAGAGACCGTTCTGTACCCTGAGCAGTTTAGCAAGATGTACTGGACCAAGCCCTGGATATATTGAAATAATCCCGAGGTAACGATATGAAATTCACATGAAGTAGTCTTTGACCCTAGCAACACACTGTAAAAATATATCCTTCCATGATATAACAACAACAACAATAATAATAATAATAAAAAAAAAAAAAAAAAAAAAAAATAATAATAATAATAATAATAGCATATTTAAAATTAACAAGCATTAAGGAAAGTAATAATAAAATACTCGTAACACCTTCAGAAACACAAGCCTCACACCTGCCGAAGCAACAAACACTCCTACTGGCGTGAGGTCTGGGGAGGAGGGGTAACCGGAGGCATATTTTAGTATGCGAAAATGTGTCGTAACTGCCGCACCAGACCCGGACATGGTGGTAATATTTAACCGTGTTATAATGAACGTGTACTGTCGTGTGGGCCTTTATGATGGTGAAGTGAAGTGACGCCCGGTACTGAGGTTTGCAGGGCTAAGTGTATTATTCACCTATCTTATTTTAGTAATATATTATTCTGAACCATTACTCCTCAAGTTACAGTCGGCCGAGGCAGTATAGTTTCTTAAAATCATCTGTTAAACTGACAGAAATTTTAAGTGTTGGGAAAACGTAAGCATGTCGGTGAGAATGTAAGTCTGCCAACGCTAACGATCGATAGCGCTATTGGGAAATTTCTGGTAATGGTAAGTTGACAAGAAAGACTACAAGCATGGCGAGGAAATATTCCATAATGTGTGAGCGGACTTGCCCAGACGGACGCGTACACCATAATAATAAAAATAAATTTGTTAATATGATATTAACACCGTGCACCTCTGAGAGAGCACTATAATCAGCATTCATATTATTCTAAGTCTATCCTGCATCAGGGCTGGGCTGTTGGCCAAATAACTCAATCAATCCGGGCACTCATGAACCACTTAACAGCATGCCACCAGTCAGACGATGATATCACTTAACATGAGGCAGCATAATTATTAATATTAAAACAAAAAAAATCTTAAGAGTATCGGCGCAGCTATCACTACACAAATAACTACAACCTTAACAAATATGGAGCAGTTAATTATAATAACCTAACCTAACCTAACCTAACCTAACCTAACCTAACCTAACCTAACCTAACCTAACCTAACCACAACATATACTGACATGCAACACAGGGAGTAACCACTTCCTATAAACACAAACGCCACAGGTGATCACAAGCGTCACAGGTGATCACAAGCGCCACAGGTGATCACAAGCGTCACAGGTGATCACAAGCGTCACAGGTGATCACAAGCGTCACAGGTGATCACAAGCTCCACAGGTGATCACAAGCTCCACAGGTGATCAAAAGCGTCACAGGTGATCACAAGCGTCACAGGTGATCACAAGCGTCACAGGTGATCACAAAGCGTCACAGGTGATCACAAAGCGCCGCAGGTGTTCGGCTCCACAGGTGATCACAAAGCGTCTGGAGTGATCCTGGCTCCACGGAGTAACAAACGCCACAGGTGATCACAAGCGCCACCGGGTGATCACAAGCGTCACAGGTGATCTAAGCGTCTGGGTGATCACCATCCACAGGTGATCACAAGCGTCACAGGTGATCACAAGCGCCTGAGTCACAAGCTCCACAGGTGATCACAAAGCGTCTGAGTGATCATCACAGGTGATAACCGACGCACAGAGTGATCACAAGCGCCACAGGTGATCGCTCCACGGAAGTGATCACAAAAGCGTCTGGTGATCACAAGCGTCTGGTGATCGGCTCCACGGGTGATAACAAACGCACAGGTCACAAGCGCCTGGTGATTACAAGCCCAAGTGATTACAAAAGAGCCACAGGTGATCACAAACCTACAAGTGATCACAAGCGCCACGGTGATCACAAGCACCACAGGTGATCACAAGCACCACAGGTGATCACAAACGCCACAGGTGATCCTGCGGCGCCACAGGTGATCAAGCCCAAGTGATTACAGAGCCTGGGTGATCACAAACGCCTGAAGTGATCACAAGCGCCACAGGTGATCACAAGCGTCACAGGTGATCACAAGCGTCACAGGTGATCACAAGCGTCACAGGTGATCACAAGCGCCACAGGTGATCACAAGCACCACAGGTGATCACAAGCGCCACAGGTGATCACAAGCGCCACAGGTGATCACAAACGCCACAGGTGATCACAAACGCCACAGGTGATCACAATCATTATACAACCAACTCGATGTGAACAAGGCTCATTATACATTACAAGGGTTTGAGTGAAGACAAAAACGCTCTCTGGCATATACTTATACTGAGGAGGTGAGTGCGTGTCAATTATTAATCGATGACATAAAAATTTGTGGTTTAAAAGCCTACAATCACCCCCATCGCACCCCCGTGAACTCGTCTGAATGTTGGGTGACTAGATAATATGATCACTCCTGTTATTATCCGACTGTGGCCCTGTTGTAGCTTGACTCAGTGTTAAACGTAACCCCTCCCCCAAAACCCCAATAAAAACAAATTCACCGGTGATATTGGGTTATACATTCATGGCCACGCCAATCAAAATCTGCTAGTGGCGATATGTTTCATTACCTAAACATGACCTAAAGTGTCTAACTATGACTTAAGTGTACGTTAATATGACTCTAAGTGTACATAAATATGGTCTAAGTGCAAAATACTGACAAAGATAACAACGACCACACGCACAACCGAGACTCCAGGAGAGAGTTTAGAGAAGCGTCCCTCACCACCACCCATCCCCCCAGGAAGGCCTCAGGGTGGGAGTGCTTTACTAAACGTGTGGGTACAAGTAACTACACCAAGAGGCTATTAATTAAACTTTTAATTAGTTTTACACTGTAATTATCGACAGACGTACTCCATAATTATATTTCGATTACCTAGACGTACGTGACCAATGGTATAAGACCCCAATTTTGTACGCAGGAAAATTAATTGATTAAAGGTAGAATTAACCTGTGTTTTAATTCTTAGTGTGGGAAGAGTCTTACGTAAGAGAGAGAGAGAGAGAGAGAGAGAGAGAGAGACGTAACCAGTACCAGGCAGTGCAACATGTCATCTTTACTACTACAGAAGGGAAAAAAAAATATCTTAGTAATATTAGCAAGTGTATCTAGTGTGGGAACTACCATCAGCCGCCTCTCTTGTCTCTATCTCGAGTGTTCTTCATTTTTCACTCTCATACACTGTCAGAAACTTATGTTACCGTTATCACAAGGAAACAAATCATGCAGTTATTCAAGCACTTTGGTAATCAACACTTCTTAATGTACTCCCGGAATATGTACTTAACCAAACACGCAATTGGATCTTTTTGTGTTTCTTGCCTTGTGGTTAACTTCATAATATACACAGAATATAGTTTAAAGATTTCACTCGCAAATTTTAGAAAGATTTAATGGCCTTGAAAACAAGTAAAGGAGTTGGGAAGGACAAACTGACAAGTATTTACTCTTGAAACTAATCATATACAGTAAATTTGTCAGAGTGAGAGAGAGATAAAAGACCTTCTAACCACATTCTTCCAACAGCAGGTATGAACATCAATTAAGGGTAAGACAAGGAGCAACTCACCTGCAGATCATGTAGCCTGAGCGGTTGAGGCCATGTGTGCAGTGGACGCCGATCAGCTTCTCTGTGAGGGCAAAAAACGCAACATTACGTCACCATCAAACATCACTAACGTACAATAATAATAGTAACTAGTCCTGCTAGCAATACTTACACTACAACTTACTAATAATTATAGTTACAGTTGCAAGAGTCGTAATAAAATGTAACGGGTAACCAAGACACTAGACCGAGGGTTCTTATCCTTTTCCACTCGATTTCCCCCCCCCCCTTTTCCATCTTCCGCTTAAGTCATTTCTCCCTCCCAAACCAACCATAGTTCTATCCCAAGAGCGCCTGAGCTGCAGTGGCGCACCATCCGATCAGAACTTGTATGCTTCAGAACCTAACACCACACCTCAAGCAGCGTCACGAACTCCCCAAGTGTTACAAACTCTTACAAGAGAAGTTATGATGCAGACCCATAACGCAGGAAAGAGGGAAGATTCTTCTCAATTTGAGGAAAAATCTCGGTTGAATTTTCCCTTCTCATTTGGTGTTACACTACATAAAATTCCCCCCCAGTTAAGAACGCCTGCACTAGACCATCAACGAGCCACTACACCACGTTTCTCTTACTATGTGTTCATCTACTCGATAATATATTTAGTAAATTAAAATCGTTTTAGAACTTGACAGTATAAATCCTATAAAACCTACAAAAAACTTCATTATTCCACGACTCACGAAAAAACATGGAACACCTGAAGAACAGACACCCCAGCTTATTTTAACTAGTGATTAACCAACTCCACGCTTACTTAACCTATCCAAACCTTGCTTACCCTAGTCCCTCCAGGTAGAGTTTGAGTATTTAATCACTTAATGAAATGAGATAAGGTGTCTAATCTTCAAGTAATTCTTAAATCCCATGACTACTATGCCTGGAAGGCTGTACAGCATATAAGAATTCCCATAACTTTTCTAGTATGAAACCCTCAAGTTATTATGTCCAGTTGATAATGTCTTGAGGCTGGTCCAGACAATATCACCAGAGTTTACCATCACAACACCAAGATATCAGCTCTAACTACAGTAGAGATAAACTACAATCTTCAGTTTTTCTTTAGATATTACTGTTGTTATCTTCTAATGCTACGGAGCCTCTTAACGTGTGACACAAAAAACGGAGAACATAGCTCAAATAGTTGTAAACATTCCTCTCTCTCTCTGCCACGCCAGATCATGTCTCCCGAGTTGAACAGTGAGGCAGATCGTATGCGTGTTGACTGTTTTACTAGCGCCTTGTGTTACTGGGAGCTAAAAAAGCAGAAGGAAGAATTACTTCACTGGTGTAATAGTAAAATTACGGTATCTCATTAGAGTAAGGAAGACTTGGATAATACTTCAATTAAATCAATCGTTCTAATAATACCAACGGTGGGGAGGAAGGCAGAGTGAGTGAATAAATGCTGGCAAGAGTACAAATCCATACAAAGTGTGTGTGAGAGAGAGAGAGGGGTGCAGCGTCACGGGGGTGGGGTGCGCACCCCCTCCCTCCAACAACTGCGCAGCGCTCCCTCCTCCCCAGTGCGTTCTGGCCTCCCCCTGATAACACCGCCCACGGATTACCCCCTGCCAGGCCTTATCGTTCACTGATACCTAACCGCGGCCCACCCCATCCCTCGTCCCTTCCCCACATAATTGTTCCTCATCTCACTATCCCTTACCTACACGCACCACACTACACCCAGTCCCTCCCCTCACTACCCCTCCCACGTCCCCACTCGAAGTCCCTTCTTTCCACCCTCTTCCCCACTCAATCTCACTCCGCGCCCCTCCCCACTCCCTCACTCCATGCCTCTCATTTTCCCTCCCCACTCCGTGCCCACTCCTCCCCCAGCCACCAGCCATCACCTCCTCACAAGTGTCACCCGGAGGAGGGTCAAGCACCAAGCCTCACTGGGAAGATTAAATCGCCCTTTCACGACGCCCCCGAAGAAGAAGGGAGGGGAACAGGGAATAAGTGAAGGAGCAGAGGAGGAACGGCGAAGAAGAGGAATAAGAGGGAGAGAAGGGGAAAGGCGAAGAAGAGGAATAAGAAGGAGAGAAGGGGACAGTGAAAGATAAAAAAGGGAGAAGAAGGACGGACGGACGGACGGACCCACCCACCCACCCACCCACCCACCCACCTATCTCGCGTGCCGTAAGAATGAATACGCACAAAAACCAACAACCATCATGAGGCGCACACATATTTATCTCAAGGACAGAGCAACAGTAGGAAACTTTGTGCCCAGCGAGATACAGTGACGGGGAGATGACCCAGGGGGATTCTGAACTGTGCCAGGGACATAGTGGGCGTATGACAAGGGGGATCTGGACTGTGTTAGGGAGATATTGTGACAAACTGGGAGAGGTTGGTTGTGCAAGAGAAATGATTAAGGCAGGGGGGATAATACAAGGTACAGGGATATATTGAAACTGACAGGATGATGTTGATTACGCCAAGGAGATTATGTAGATGACAAGGAGACAGGAAGAGAGGTGCTGACGGACACCACGGAGTTGTGTGTGTGTGTCAGAGAGAGAGAGAGAGAGAGAGAGAGAGAGAGTGTGTGTGTGTGTGTGTGTGTGTGTGTGTGTGTGTGTGTGTGTGTGTGTGTGTGTGTGTGTGTGTGTGTGTGTGTGTGTGTGTGTGTGTGTGTGTGTCCCAAGACTGGAAACATCATCCCTACAAACTTATTCTCCAATGAGTCAACCATCTTTCCCTCCCTCAACAGCCAATAAACGCCCCCCCTCCAGTCACGTCGAAACTAATTCAGGACACACGTACATGTTTGTTTAACTTCTTGAGTTGCGGCTGGCGGCTGATAAAGAAAAAAAAAGAAATAAAACAATACTCGGCCCCTCTCCTCGTCTTCCACCCCAGAGGGAGAAACTGTGTGTGTGAGAGGGCAGGAGGGGGAGGGAAGAGGGAAGGCCGCCTCCTTCTCTTGATCAGGTCAAATTTGCTCATCGTTCAGGTGCATACCCAGGCTCTTGGCCACCATATTTGCACTCGGCTAATTTTCCAGTTTCTCTCCAACATTTCCTCTCCTCCTCACCTGAGTCTTAAATATTTACATTACATTTAACAAATATAAATGGCCTATAAAACACCAAGTCGAGGTTTATCTTAAAAACGTCTACCCAGCGAGTGTCCTTCTGAAACATGTTGCAACTTCTGTGTTAGAAAAAAAATTTAAAACACTGAATTCTATCTCTCTATGATGTGGGATTCATCTACTACGTATTACATCTCTCTCTCTCTCTCTCTCTCTCTCTCTCTCTCTCTCTCTCTCTCTCTCTCATTTTTTTTTGCACGAGCGAATAAACTCAGTGTTGTGCAAACTGGACCATTTACCTTCCCGTCGCTTGTCTGCCTCCCTTGTTTGTTCATCTCGAAGGTATACAACGATCTAACAAGCAATTCCCAGAAAGCAAGGTGGCTGTACCTGGGTAGTGTTGGTTTGTGTGCGTGTTTGTGCGCAATAAACACCCTCGCAACATACACTTCAGGCATCCAGCTGAGGCATTGAGCGCTCTAGCTGCTGGAACACGTTGCGAAAGATACTTCTTGGACTTAGCATCGTAAGAAATGTGTAAATAATTATATATGTGTAAGATAACAATGTGTATAATTACCTATGTATACACTAAAGTTCTATGCGTATGGTAACAATGTATATAGTTACTTATGTGTGTACTAAAGGCGTAAGTTCCAAAGGTATTCATAACCATAACGTTACCAATGGATTTACAGTATTTTAAGAAGTGATTCAGTGTCACAAAGGGTTTATGTAATGTTGAGACTAGTGTTACTTACGGGTTTGTGAAAATACCACCAGTAGCCCTAAGAGTCGCAGGTAACTTTGAACAATTAGCCCCATTCGTACACTATCGGGTTACATCGCACGCGCGCACACACACAACAAGTCTACTTTCACAGCTCCTAGACAAAACAAACACACACACACACACACACACACAGTTGGATAAAAGATGATAACACAAGCATTAAGTATTTAGATTCCGTCGGTGTCAGATAAGATAACATAAATATTGAATACATTTACACCTCTAAGTTTCTCCTGACAAATGAAAGGAATATCTATAGGTCGGTGTGCACTGTCGTCGTCAGCCTGGAAATTCCGACTAACATTGATGAAACAGTTTAAGGTGTTGAGAGAATACCATTGTGGGAGCGTCAAGCTTGGTGTCTGGCGTTTTGGGGAAATTACCCGATACTTGAGTCATAACTAAATCCAAGGAGCCATAATTTCGCTATATGTTCAAGTCGCACTCGTAATTTCCGGACGAAAGGGCGAAGCAGTATGATTGTGTCTTTACTATTATAATAGGTTAGCTTGGAGTAGACTATCCGGCAGTTATCTTGCTGGTTAGTGAGAGTAGATAACGAGGTAGACACATACAGATAGCCTAACAAGTGACACACAGACAGGAGAAGGATATACATATTAATAAACACAATTATATTTTCAAGCTGCCTTTAACCAGCACTATCAATGGCAACATTAAGACGTGAAATTCTGGTAAAATCTAACATGACGTGTAATTTTGGCAAGCGGCCACTGAGGCTGAGTGAGACGCAAAGAGCCACCACAAGCTGTGAGCCAATGATTCAAGCCCCACCCCACCCCCTTCCGTATCAACCCTTACCCATCATAAAAACACATCCACTCTACATATTTCTTTAGAGTAATGTGTGTTATAAGATGGTAGTGGACTTATGCGAGCCACCCAGACCGTGCCAACACTCAAGGAATCAATATGTTTGGGAGGATCAGTGACAGTGTTTGATCATGTTGACATAATGAATAGTCGCATCCCTCTGCCCAGTCTCTCGGTAATGTAGTGTCGGTATGCACGCCTGCACACCCTCCGTCCCTCCCAACTTTCTAAAACTCTCATCTCTGGTACTCACCCCCACGGCCTCGCACACACTAAACTGAGCCTTGACTCCACCAGTAACAAGGTATACCAACGTGTGTAACTGGCCGAGGGAAGCAAGGTCCTTCTTCT